CTCTCCCTCCTCCTCCTCCTCCCCCTCCCCCTTTCACCTCCTCCTCCTTCTCCTCCTCCTCTTCTACCTAGTTAAAGGTGAAATCTAATTCCCCTACCCTTTCTGGACCGAGTGACTTACTTGATGAACAGGATGCAGTGGAAATGATGTTCTTGGATTTTTGAGGGTAGGTCACAAGAAGCATTGCAGTTTCTTCCTGGGTCTCTTGGAATGCTTTTAAAGGACTGAGCTTCCATGTAGAGAATCCAAGATGGCTTGAGTCTTGCTTAAGACTGCCATGCTTTGAAGAAGCCCAACAAGATAACCACATGGGGAGCCAACTATGGTCAGGAGATAAATTGCTGAACAAGAATGAGAGCAAGAATGAGAGCAAGAGGAGTGTGTGGATGATATTTCTGTGATGGTCTGAGGTGCTCTTCTTCAATGAAGCTCACATTCATGCCACATGAATCCATTTTGTGTACTGGATGGGAAAATGAAGTGTCGCATTACAAATACTTGCCTTTTGTTTGTTCTTCCAAAGAGCCCATGTTAACTACTTTTCATTGTAGTGGTAAAAACATGAATGAGTGTACACATTTACCAAAACTCTACTTAATATTGGAGCATTTTATTTGATATAAATAATAACTCAATAAAGTTGATTTGAATGAAGTTGTCAGCTCTCTGGAGATCAAGCCATTGCCCAGGTTTTAAAGGTAGGTGAGTGAGTGACCTCTATAGATGTGTCTGATACCTGGCTTCATGGAGCCCAGACAGTGTACATTATCAGAGATCATTAGGGGAAAAAAATCTTTCAATCTAATATGTCTATTATGATATAATTATATACTGTAATCTTTTAAAATTTTTTCTTTAGTTGTTGATGGACCTTTATTTAATCAATTTATTTATATGCAGTGCTGAGAATTGAACACAGTGCCTCACACATGCTAGGCAAGGGCTCTACCACTGAGCCATAACTCAGCCATATATATTGTAATATTTGTGTGGTATTCAACTTCTTTGGGAATGGAGTCAATGTATACATTTTCCCCTTCAAAGAGGGGAAAAAAAACCTTTCATAATAGAAACTCAGCAATGTCTCAAGCATTTGAAACTGATGACAATTCCTGTTTGTCCTATTTAATTAAAGATAAGCAGGTCTTCCTGGTAACAAATGTTGGGTTGGGGATTTGCCTGTTCCAGTCTTGGTCATCTGCCTTATCTGATTGCTTTTCTTCCTCTGAAGTTGACACCTCTTCTACTTCATATGCCCCAAAGGTCCCAAGCTCCTATTTTATTGCATTTGGGAAAGATATGAAATTAACTATTTGTAATTGTTGTTTGTTTATATTTCAGCTTGAGTTTCAGTCCAGAGGTCTGTAGCTACTGTTGAATTTATCAGCCCAACCCCCATTTTCTACTTCAACCTCTTTTATTTGCCTCCCTACATCATGAAGGTGGAAATATTCCTAGATCCCCTTGCAGCTATGAGGCATGCGGATAACCTAGAACCTTACAATCAGATGTACCCCTACAAACTCTGATGCAGAAGTGAACCATGTGATAACTGTGCAGCTTGGTGTGAAAGTGTGGCCTTCTGGAGAACATGGCAGCAGAGGCAACAGAGTGGTGAAATCACAGTTGGCAGGCAACGGAAGGGGAAATATTTTCACTACAACAGTAACTTGGACATTTTTCCTGGTTTCATTGTAGTGGCTGTATGTACACACAAGTCCTAAAGATTTGGAAGCTAGGGGTTGGGGAGTTGGTAGAGTGCTTGACTTGAATGAAAAAAAAAAAAGATTTGGAAGCTATCAACTGTTCCTCAGTAAATCCCTTTCTGCCTAATCTCAGTGAGAGTGGACACCATCATCTTCAACTAAGAACTCTGACCATTGGGAGAGATTACTGCAATCAGGCAATCATATTTTAAATGTCTCTCATTGAGAATCAAAAGTGATTCTTTTTATTCAGTGAAATGAATTTCATTTCAGGAATTAGTAACAAAGGAGCAGAAGAGGTAGAGGAGGCAATCTAAGGATTTTCTACAATAGCAACAGTTGTATTCCTGAGACCAATTCTGCTAGATCTGACTTGATTCTTTTAGGTGAGAAGTAGAGTTTCCTGTGTGGACTAATGAATCACTCTGTGAAAGATAATTTTTTAAATAATATTAAAACAAACACACATTGACATAGTCTCTCTCTTTTTTTTTTTTGGCAAAACCAGATTCCTATTTGCCTAAGTAAAATTATGATAATTTGTTGCCAATTCATTTATTATAATTCATTTGCTACAATATTTGGATCCAAAATAATCTCTTATTTAAATGTATTTTAAGTCCTACATTTGTGTGTATACATGTACACAAACACACATATATCCACACACATAATACATATACACAATGGAAAATTAAAATTCTTCAGCTAATTTAGAAAGGAAGGAAATTCTGATATGCTACAACATGAATAAACTGGAACACACACTGTACAAAGTGAAATAACCAGACACAAAAGGTCAAAGATTGTATGATTCCACTTCTGTGAGATACCTAGAGTAGGCAAATTCATGAAGACAGTTTTCCAGTCACAATGGTGCATGCCTATAATCCCAGCTATTCAGAGGCTGAGGAATGAGATTCGTTGAGGATAGCCTGAGCAGACACTGTCTCAAAATAAAAAATGGCTAGGGAGGTAGCTCAGTGTAGAGCACCCCTGGGTTCCATCCCCAGTACTGTTTTAAAAAACCCAGAAGTTAGAACATAGTTGCCAGGGATAGGGGAAGACAGGAATGGAAGTTTGGGGAAGTATGGAAGTCGATATTCAACGGTCCAGTTTGTTTTACAAGATGAAAACTTGTGGAGGTGGATGGTGGTGATGGTGGCACAATGATGTGAGTGTGCTAATGCCATTAAACTGTACATTCACTTATGGGTAGTTGGTAAATTTTGTGAGTATTTTACCAAAATTTTCAAAAAGCAATTTAAAAAAATCTTTCTTGTGCACCTATAGAAAATAAAATATAGGCCAACTAAATAAGTTCATGCTTTCTCTGAAACTTCTCCACATATAGAACCTGCTTCTTGTAAATAACTTTTGGATTCCAAGTGGCCAATGTCACTATTTGCCACATGGTATTTTCCATGGCACCCTTAAGTGCATTTGGTGATGTAGCATGGTCCTCCATTGCCTCTGAGACTTACACTTGAGTGCCGCAGTCCGGTTGCAGCAAAATAACCGGGGTGGGGGTGGGGGTGGGGGTGGGGGTGGGGGTGGGGGGGGGGGGTGACGAACAACTTGTGTACATTGATACAGCAGGAGTGGGAGCCCTTTATTGTAGGACAACAGAGGTATTTATACATTCCACACAGCTTATCTAATTAACATAAACTAGATATAGCAGTCAACCAATAAGGAATCTCCACACTTAATGGCTCGCTGTCGTTATTTCACAAACCACTCCCTCTGGCAAAATGCCAGGCGCCATCCTAACTTGTTTACAGACACCTGAGCAGCTGACACCCAAACTGCAATGATAACCATGTTATGACTGCTGTCTGACCAATAGGACACATCTTTATTTCAGGACTGTTAAAATGTAAAGGAAAAAAAAAAGTGTGACAGAAGCAAAGAAACATGATAATGCTTTTCTTGACTTTTATTAGTGGTGGGCTGGATGACCCTACAGGAGAATGCCAAAATGCAAATGTGCTCTCAAAATGCAAATCTCCTATTAAATCCTTTAATGGCTTCCAGAATAAAGTCCAAATTCTTTATCATCAAAAAACACTTCATAACCTGTTTCTTTTTAAAATTGTGAATTATTTTCAACATAGAAAAATGCAGACAACATGAAAAACATGTAGACACCTGTCAGATTTGACAAATACTTGATAAATCTTAATAATTTGCCATATTTGCCTAGAATATATATTTTCATATTGTAAGCATAAATAATATTTATAAATTCAGGGTAAATGATAAGACCAACATATTAAAATCATTCAAAAATATTTTAAAATATACATTTTCCAATGTATGGTAGAAAATTCTAGAAAGACAAAACCAAAATTACACTGTAATATATACTAAAGATTTTGGCTCCATCTTGTATTTTTATAGTGAACAATCTTTAAAAATTTATTAGAAAATGAGTGGCTATCAATGATGAATGAAGAATATGGCCTTATTTTTTTATACTCACATGAAGTTGAGGGAATATTTTGACCAGAATTTACAATATATATGTGGTAGATATATATATGGAATGTGTATGTGTATATATGTATATGTATATATATATATATATATATATAATATATGTATATTTTAAAGAAATAAGCTGCTACTAATGTACTAATGCACTGAAATTCTTCTTATGCCACCCACCTTCCTGCCCCTTCTTTGCACTTATTCATTTATTTTTGTGATGCTAGGGATCAAATCCAGGGCCTAGTGCCTGCTAAGCAAGCACTATATTACTAAATTATATCCAGACCTTTATTTTATCCATCCTTTTTTTTCTTCTCAGAGCCAATCACTTTCTTGAAGATTTCAGGAATCTCTTATGCATGTTTTTACCCTTACTACATATGAACCTTTTTATATATGGTTTAAATATGAGTTCTTACCAAAAGCTCATGTGTGAGACAATGCAAGAATGTTCTGAGGTGAAATAGATTGTGAGAGTTATAACTTTATCAGTGCATTAATCCACTGATATGAATTAACTGGGTAGTTAACTGTAGGCAAGTAGGGTATGGATAGAGGAGGTAGGTGGCTGAGGGTGTGTCTTCTAAGTAGTTTAGACTATAAGTGTGTACTAATACGTCTGATCTAAGTAAATTTTTGTATATAATGTAGAGACTGAATTTCTATTTTTGCATGTAGCTGTCTAGTTGTTCCCTCATCTTTTGTTGAAAAGACTATTCTTTCCCCGTGAATCAATATTCCATTAATCTATGTGTCTATCCAGGACCAAAATGTCTTAATTACTGGAGGTTTTTGGTAGGAGTTAAAATCAGGAAGTGCAGGAGTGTCAACTTTTCTTTTTCAAGATTGTTTTTCGCTATTCTAGGTCCCTTGAATTTCATCTTGTCAATTTCTACAGAGAAAGTAACTTGAATTTTTATTTCAGAGACACAGACAAGATTTATTTAGGAAAGCACAGAGATATATTCAAGGAAAAATGTGGGCTATCTTGAGAGTAAAACGTTTTGGGGAAAAACAAGGAACAGACATTCAATGGAGAATATGGGCCATCTATAGAAGGAGAAACAGTGGTCAACTTGAATTTAATGGACACTGCACTCATCACTTTGTTTCTTGGTGACACTTATAAATATGCTAGTTCATATTTCTATCAGGAGATTTCACTTGAAGAGCAAATGTGTTCCCATGTTTTCCTCTTGAACAAATTTAAAAGGACATGTTTATTTTGGATACCACATATAAACACAGGGTTGGATATCACATATAAAMAAAGGGTTTCAGTTTATTTAAAGTCTTTATTTCCAACAGATGTTACAGCTTACTAGTCGTAAAAATCATCAAAATCATCAGCGGATGTGTTATAGTTTCTAGGACGCAAAGCAGCTTCAATTTCTGAGTTACTGTCATCAGACTCTCCCCAGAAGGCTGGAAAAGAAAAGCAGACAGCTATTTAACATTTTCTGCATATGAGTTTGTAGAACAGCACTCTACTGTCAAAAAAAAAAGTTTATGAAACAGCACAGTGGGACTGGTTAATTAGAGCACTGGCCTGCAAGAGATCTAACAGGGATACCACATAATGTACCTTACCAGACACACACAGAATAAATGTAGGTACTGTAAAAATAAAAATATTTCAGTGTATTCTATGCATTGTTATGGAAATTCCTTTGCAGACTATTTCTTTTCTCTTGTGCCCAATTTTTTACTATAGGATAGGGATTTAAAATCAGGCTTTACAAGGAAACAGGGCTGCTGGGGGTTTTCATCAGGCCTGATACTAACTAGCTTCCTCTGTTCTTTCTAAGAGCAGAGAGAAGGGGGAGGCATGGTAGAGGAATAAACAGTGATGCTAAGCCTAAGACAGGATGTGGAAACACATCATTTATTTTGAGAGGTGATCTTATGAGCCATGTGGAGGGGAGTGGGAGAGTGCCACAGGGAAAAGGTGAAGCAGTAAAACATATATTAACAAGTGGGTGCTGGCAGGGCACAAAAGGGACTAAATTCTGCTCTGAAAGACTGTGTAGAACTAGAACTCACTTCACATTGTCCCAGTGAAGACTAAAGAAGTAGGGATATTGATCCATCAACTCCCGTTTCCTGGTTGAGAGTTCTCAACTCAGGGCATCAACTCTCTGCACTTGGGCTGCCCTGTGAAGGCTAGACATGCTGCATCCTGTGGCCAGAGAAAGCCTTTAGACAGAGATTCATGGCTGCTTGATATGGAAGGCAGCAGGCATGTCCATGAACTGGAGCTGAAGTAACCTCTGGACAACTGTTAGGATGTGGTGAGGTCACCAACAGTGAGTACTACTACTCTGACAATCTGCATGACTACTGATATCTTCTCACGTCTTGAGAAGTCCTCAGATCCCACCCTATAGGCACTGCAAGGATGCAGGCACACTTCACAGTCCTCACATAAGGATGCAGAAGACTAATACATGTCATAAGCAACTGTTTTGATTAAAATTAAAAATAAAAATTTTTTTGTCCAGTTACTTCTCTTACCATTTGACTTTATATTGGTCATAATTTTCTTTTTGTTTTCATGCCTGTGAAATAAAGAAAGCAAATGAAAACAAATGACATAAAAGTTTTACAGACTACATTAGGGAAGAAGCACTATTATTCATTAGAAGGCCAGAAACTTCATATACTTCTCAGATTTTTTTAAAACACAAAGAAAATGTCAAGACTTATTGTGGCCAGAGCTATTTGCTGATGCTTTGGTGGTACACTGCTACTCCAACAGCATCACCAGTGACCTTTGCATGTTCCTCTCAGCAGGCTCTGCCCAGGTCCCCTCTGCCCTGATGTGCCATGTGTACATTGAGCACAGTGGGTTCTTGCTGGAGGGTGATCACCTGGGAGAGTAGGCAGAGGATGATTTCTATCCAACAGTCCTCTTAAAACACTAATGTATATAAAGTTTTATTGCTTTTAGGTAAACACAAAGGGAACTACCTGAAGTAAGGAATTCAAGATGTTACAATGCAAAGAGATGTTAGTGAGGAAGTTAAAATATGTATCTCTCTACTGCCAGTGACAGCAATGCTAACTAAACTAACTAAAGGAGGTCACCAACAAACATGTGGTAGGAAAATGCAAGCATGATAGACACTTACATGTTTAGGTTTCTATGTATCAAATACATAAAAATGCTAGAATTGGTTTCATCTAGTTAGCACCCAATGACTTGTCTGCTGAAAACCAGGAACCTGGCTCTGTGGGATGGGATTTCTTACTGTGCCTTTTTAGGAGCTTTTGCAATTTCAATGAATTCTGAAGTCCACACTGGGAGCAGTGTTTAATTTTTATTATACTTAAATCCTTGAAGGCCTGTGTAGAATGGACAAGTGGTCAAAGGAGATATTAGGAAAGTGTGAGTTACTGTCTCTATTTGGGGCCACCATCGCTCTTCTCATGGCTGGGACACTGTTCCTCTTGATGCAGGAAACCCTAAAAATTCATAGTTTTCTTCCCCTTGGGCCAAGCCTGGTTAACTCATGGTTTAAAAATCTGCCTTTTGTCATAGCTGCCATAATTTACTTATTTTTTTCTTTCAGTAAAATAAACTCCAATGAGGTAAAATTTTATAGGTTCAGTAACTATCAATACTCCCTTGAAATTTTGTGCCTGTTATTTGCTATAATCAAATAGTACCTGTGTTGTTTCTCCACGAAAGCAGAAAACCCCTATCACTCTCAGAAAGGACCTAGCAGCTAACCAGTAGTCAAGCTACTATTAAAGTGGGCAACCAATGAAGAGAGCTTAAAATAATTTGTATTATAAAAAGTGCAAACACATGTGTGTGTGTGCACATGCAGACAATAAATGTGACTGTGGGTTGAGTCACTATTTACCCATCTCCCACTACCTGAAGACATTGGGCTAGGTGCTTAAGGGGAGGGGTGGATTACAAAAATACCTGTAGGCATTCAAATATGCAAAATTTCCAGGCATGGTTCAAATAATAAGACTCTGGGGGAGAAGGCAAGTTTGCTGCTGCCTGGGAGAACTGGGAACTCAGTGTTGAGGGATGGGTAAGGGACTGCAGGATCCCCAAGGAGGCAAGGTGGCTCTGGACTCAGACTCAAGAGATGGTGAGGATATATCTCAAGACAAGGGAGGAGGAGGCAGTAGGGAGCCTTGATACAGGATCAAGTGCACAGAGGCAGGCAAGCTCAGGCCAGGTTCCTAGAATCTGGGCCACTTTTCTGAGCTCCAGAAATGTGTCCAGTGTCCAGCTGGTAGTACCATTTGGCCTCTTCCAAAGCACCTTGTGGTCAATATTCCCATCTATGAACAAACTCACCAACCTTCCAGTATGATCCCCCTCCCTTGCCAAACCAGGTTTTCCTCTCATCTCAGTAAATGATCCATAACCTTCCATTTCCTCCCAAGTACACCCAATCAGCCTATATGTCCTGCCAAGTTGACCTCCCAATACTTTTCAGGTCTTCATCATTTCCCTGCATACTGCCCCCACACTGATAAATGAATTGATATCTCCTTTCTGGATCTCTGCAAAAGCCTCTTCATTCTGGCCACATTTACCTTGTCCTACTGTCTGTCATTCATTTTCTACTCAATAGCAAAAGTGAGTTCTTTGAAACACAAACCTGGCACTTCATTTCCTTGCATAAAACTCTTTAATGCCTTCACAGTGCTTTGGGCACAAAGACCTAAATGCTGAACAGTGCCTCCAAGACTGATCTCCCAAATGAGACTGGGTTCTCCCACTATAGTCTTTCCTATCCCTCACCCTACCCCATCCCACCACCAAGTCCTCATCAAAGTTGCTGTTTTCCACCCATTTGTGTCACTAATTGATTAGCCATTTTACACCCATTTGTGTCACTAGTTGATTTCCCTGCTAGGCTAGAAGCTCCATGATGGAAGCAATCATACCTGCTTAGCTTACCTGGGTAACCTGGTGCTTAGCACTTAGTAGGTGCTCTGGGTGGAATGAATAAATGAACCTCACTCAGCACCAGACTCTGCTTAAAGGCACATTATCAATGTACAATGATATAATATTTGATTTGCATGTTTTTAATTAATATGTAGCTTTAGAATCACTTGTTCACCTTTTTTTTTTTTTTGGCTTTTATAAGCTGGCAAGTGGCAGGAGGTGGGAGTGGTGGGAAAGGGACCCAGAAAAGCCAAAAAAGAAAAGAAAAAGAAAAAGCCTTGCACAATGCTGCATAATTGCCAAGTGGAAATCATCTATGCAAGTTACTGTTCATAACCACACAACTCATCAAAAGCAAGTGAGCTAGCAATGCTGAGTGCTACCATGGAAGGTGACCCACAGAGCATGTCAGGGACTCTCTCATTCTACACAGGGCATTCTAGGCTTACCATATCTTTGTGAGGCCACTTGAACTTATATTTTCCGTTTGTCCTGTAGTTATACAATGTGACTTTGAGAACATTTAAGCCACAGGAATCCGGTGAACATCTCAGTAAAATATGAATTAATTATGCAATAGTTCTTAATTGTCTGATTTATTAGATTTTTTTCAAGAGAAATATATTTCAGAACTACGTGCATCACAGTTCACCCACTGAGAAAGGTGGAGGATGCTTTTAAGTGTTTTCTACTCTACTCTAACCTAAGCAGCAATTATTTTTTCCTTTGGGAATCCACCTCAAAGAGTCAATATGACACTGCAATTCAAGGTTGATTTTTATTAAGTACAATTCTTAGGGTCAACATTTCTTTCTCTGGGTCATACCTAACATGTAAAGCTATGGCAAGGCTGAAAAGAACAGAGGGAAAATTTCCCTTAGAGTGCTGGATAGAGCCAACTTGTTAGCTGCCATAGTCAATGAGAAAAAAACAACCAAATTTACTTCTGAAAGCAAAAGAAATGAATGAGTTAAAAGTTACAGACTAGGGGCTGGATTGTGGCTCAGTGGTAGAGCGTTTGCCTAACATGTGCAAGGCCCTAGGTTTGATCYTCAGCACCACATATAAATAAATAAAATAAAGGCATTGTGTCCAACTACACCTAAAAAAAAAATTAAAAAAAAGTTACAGACTAGGGGATATGGTCACCACACTCCATCATATATGCTTGGAATCTGATTGCCTAATATCTGCAAGTGTGAAAGTGACATGTCTGTCTTATACGGCAGAGGTTGGCAAAGGTTTTCTATAAATAATCAGATAGTAAGGAGTCAAGATGGTAGATCAGAGGCACCCAGCATTCTCCCGCTTTTCCATGAGATTTAGAGCCAAAACAATAGTCAAGTTCAGAAATCTGAACACATTAGGTGGGTGCTATGCCACTGAGTTACACTCTCAGCCTAGCTGAGAGGAACTGTATCTAACTCCAGCCATGACCCAGCCCTGCCCAACCTAAAGGATAGAGGGGACAAAAGTTCCAGGTCAATGATATGTCCACAAGTGGGTATAGATGGTGGATAAGGGGTCCGATGTTCTACTCCTAGATAGTCACTCCCATAGAAATAGCAAAGAGAAATAATTATTGTGAACACTATACTTATGAGGGTTCTTAGCATTGGTTGCTCCTACACCATGTCAGATCTTACATTGGCAATAAGACTGAACGTGAGTGCCAAAGAGAGGGAGCTCTGATCCTGGCATTTGCCTTGCCACATGAACCACCAGGAACTGTACTAGTAGCTAAACAGAGGATAAAAAGCTTCAGGCCCTTCACTGTGACTGGAGCAGCTATTATCAGAATGAGTAATAGAGTCAGTATCAGCAGTACCCACTGAAACCACCACTATGTAATAGGGGCTTCCACTCCTATTGTACAAGTAACCACAAAGGGTATACCTCATATACACTATGGTCTACACCACACTATACTAAGTTATCAGAGGGATCTTACTCTTGCATGATCTATAGATAAAGTGGGACACTTGGGCTCTGATACAGTACACATTGTATCAAAAATCACTAATGACAGCTAAAGAAGCCACAGGGAGATTACACTGTGAAGCTTAACTGAAAATAAATTCTACAGAATAAACTGAGATCCCAACATACATGGCCAAGAGGTTGCTTATTAAGAAGGTCCTCAAGGGGCTGGGATTGTGGCTCAGCGGTAGAGTGCTCACCTAGCATGTTTGAGGCCCTGGGTTCAATCCTCAGCACCACATTAAAAAATAAATAAATAAAATAAAGATATTGTGTCCAACTAAAAAACAATTAAAAAAAAGAAATAACTTAAAAGAAGGTCCTCACATTCCAAAGACATCAAAATTGATGAAATGTTGCATAAAAAATTCAAAAGAATGTCTTTTGAAAGCTCAATGAATTCCAAGAGAATACAGATAAATCAATGAATGAGTTACAGAAAGATAATGAGGGATATGAATGATAAATTTAATATAAAGATTTTGATAAAGAGTCAAACAGAAATCTTGGAAATGAAAAGCTCAAAAGTCAGATAAAAACTCAGTTGAAAGTTCACAAGCAGAATAGATCAGGCAGAACAAAGAATATCAGAGCTTCAAGACAAGTCTGATGAAATATCATTTTCAGGAAAGTATGAATACCACATACAGGATTACT